TGAAGAATTTCTTTTTTTTTCACATCTATATCTCCTTTTAACATCCAAAAGTAATTACTGAAAAGAATAACTGAAACCCAGTGTATTGATTTACCGCTTTAAAGACTTAACAATATCATATAGAAATATTTTTAAGTAATGCCGTACATATTTTGTCGATACAGGAGTGAGAAACCCTGGATGCAAACCCCTATTCAGACCCTTATGGTTTCCGATCATTGAAAAATGGTCGGCATTGTTGCTAAAACATTATTTAAGACGTAAAATAATTTTTAGGTAATATGCCGTTAAAAAACCATAGGTCGATATAAAAATTATTAACTATAAATTTGAAAAGCATATATATTATATTTTTTTTTCACTTGTGAATGTTTTTTCAAAATCCAAAAAATTATTATTAAAAAATCAATAAAAAAATCTGCATTCGAATATTTTTTTAAAAATTTGGAATTATTTCTTTCTCTGTCTCTTTTTTCTTTTCAGCGTGTAAATTTTTATGTGGTTTTATTCATGTTTATAACCGACAATCTTAAAGTTGTTTTTGTAACAAATGCACTTTTAAATTATTTTTACTTATTTTAAACATATATGTGCCAATGGCTTCATCACAATTTTTGCATAAATAAATTGTTCAAACAATTGTAACAGAAGTTGCAAATATGCAAATGCGAGGGTACTGTTACTTCAAAACATATATTATATCACTGTTTTAAATGTAAGCATGAATATTGAGTTAAAATTAATTGTTTATTATTATATTTATTTAAAAATAATACTTTCTTGCACGTCATTAAATTTCTTAATTTCTCAAAATATTTTCTCGATTCTCTATAAACAATTTTTTTTTAACTTAACGACATGCGATCATAATTTCTACGGTATAAATGAAATTTCTCTTGAAATTAGGATAAAACTCATTTTGGACTTAGTACACAGTTTCAGAGAATTGTTCCAACGAATATGTACGGCATTGCAATTTTCATTCTTTATGTTATATTTCTGATGAAAATTTGTAAATGCCGTATTAATGACCTAAAAGTGTAGTAAAAATTTAATGAAAAATATTATTAGCTATGTAAAATCCACTACTTAGTTAAAAATGTACGGCATTGGTTTTTTTAATTTTTTTACTTATGAAAGGTTAATTACAGCCATACTATTTTGAATATAACATTTTTTGAAAATGAAAATTTGTAAATGCCGTATAGTTATTAATGACCTAAAAATGTAGTAAAAATTTAATGAAAAATATTATCAGCTATGTAAAATCCACTACTTTGAATATAACATTTTAGTTCATAACAAGGAATTTTTAAAATACTGTAAATTATCAAAATTTATTTATTTGTTTTTTAATTCGAATTTTTAATTTGTACCATTAATTATAACCGGCCATGATTTAGTACCATAGTTTTTGGATATACAGGGTGTCCCGAAATTCATGCAACAAAATTTGGTCACAGATTCTTAAAACAAATTTACGGGACACGTATTTTTTATTTTTGCCAAGTGGCCCCCTCTTTCGGAGTTACGCCCCCTGAAGTCCGCCCCTAAGAATAATCTTTTGTTTATATCTCAGAACCCTGTTGTACGAGAATCACTAAATTTGGTACACAGGGGTTTTATGACATGTGGAATATGATGATGCTACGTTTTTGGCGGGGAACCCCCTTAAGACAATTTTTCGTGGGCCCCCTTGTCTTTGGAGCCAAAAAAATTTGGTCGCATATTTAAATTTCTTAAGAATTATCAGTCCACTAGAAAGCCATTAAATTTAGAAACTTTTTCTCACTTTATACTTTTTTCGTAAAACGCAATGTTTTCGAGAAAAATGTCAAAATGTGATCGAATGCATATCGTGATTCGCCATTTTCCTCAGAAACATTGCGTTTTCCGAAACAAATATCAAGCGACAAAAAGTTTCTAAATTTAATGGCTTTCTAGCTAACTAACAATTAAAAAAAAATCAAATTTGTGACCAAATTTTTCTGGTTCCAAAGACAAGAGGGCCCACGAAGAAGTGTCTTAAGGGGGTTTCTCGCCAAAAAGCGTAGCACTGTGAGATTCCACATGTCATAAAACCCCTGTGTACCAATTTAGTGGTTTTCGTACAACATGGTTTTGAGATATAAAAAAGACTTGTTAGGAGCAGATTTCAAGGGGCTGCAACTCCGAAAGAGGGGGCGAATTGGCAAAAAGAAAAAATACGGGTCCCCTAAATTTGTCTTAAGAATTTATGACCGAATTTTGTTGCATGAATTTCGGGACACCCTGTATTTTATCAAAAAAGTGGTTGCCTTATAGGAATTAATGATCTTATCGAAAAAAAAATAAGACTCAATTCCAAAATACAAGTAATCGTTTATAAACTTTTGCATTAACCATAATTTTCAGACGGTACAGTTACTAAGAATTATTTGGAGAATTAAGTAATCATGTGGAATCGATGTCGTACATTTTTCAATGACTTGAAACAATGGGGGCTAAAATAGAGGGTTGCGCCCTGCATCAGCAGATACGTACGGCGTCACTAAAAAAGTTATCTACTTATCAATTCGAAACTTGCAGTATAAATGCCGTAAATCACCAAAAACCGGGCCAAAAAGAAAATCAGAAATTTTCCTGGATTCCTGTATTGCTATTTTTGTACGGCATTAGGTCGAGGTTCATTTTTTTTGTATAACCTATATACTTTAGAAATGCCGTACAAAAATGTTTTGCCCTTGGTGGACAGATTTAGCTTACCTGTTTACTCAATTGTACCATCAAGATTTGACAACATAGTTTCTAAAGTTATTGTTATCTTATTTAAGTTATTGTTATTGTGTTGTCTTGTAGTCTATTCAGTTTGCGACGTGAATCCGCCGAATGTATAATTTTAGCTAATTTTAATTTTGGGGTTGACGGAGATAAATAAATAAAAAGTAATTAAAAGCTTACATCAAATAGATAGTAAATGGGTACTTTTGTGGCACTATTTTGACTCAAACAAAAAAGCAAATAAAGAAACATTTTTCATGTCTACCAATACGTTTGCAAAAAGAGATTTAGTTCAAAACTTGAAATTATCATGAGAACCAATCTGACAGTTTATCTGTTTCATTTATTTTTATATGTAAAATGAAATTTCTACTAAATATCTTAAAATAAATAAGTGTAAACTAATTTCAAAATCTCCTAATTTAGCTGCACCAAAAATAAATGATTATATGTTCGATATGTGTGACCCAATATTTACTGATTTACATTATATTAAATTGTGTTGATTTGTGTAAGCATACATCATTTATAATTTAAGTTTTCGAAATTTTATAGTTTACATTTAGTTTAGCCGGAGCGGCATTTATATTTCGCGATAATTTTAAAGTATTTGCTAAAGTAGGCGGATTTTATTGCATAATTAACGTAGATATTTGCCAGTAATAACTGCAAAAGCTGGTTTATATTTTTAAAGATTATCACTGAAGTTTTATAATCTATTTGATATATTTTTAGCTACGGGTAATATAAATATAAGAAATATAAATTGCATAATTGCTACCTACACTTCTGAAGGAATTTTTAATAGTTATAATTATTAATTAACTTGTCTGCTCAACTGTGCTGCTGTTATACAACATACTTTTTAATTGCACAAATTGACGTTCATTTACTTCATTAACACCACTGAAATTAGCTGTGTTTTTGGAAGCTTTTCAAATTCCACGACTACAAGGTCCAAGTTCCATAATTTTTTTTCGTTAATTTTGTGAGACATAATGAAATAAAAAGGAATTCATTAGGTAGAACTCCTTCTAATTTAGTACAACTCTTTTAACGTTACTACCTACATATATAACAAGATAAATTAAATAATTATTCATTATAAACATGCATTTATTATGTTTTATTTTTTGATACAGTTGTATTATTTTAATAAATGCGGTTTACATGTCCGTGAGCTTGTGGATCGGCTTTACGATATAACTTTTTGGTAGAGATTTTAACGAACTTTGCCTCATCATCTGTAAACATAAGCTTTCATTAATAATTTTACTTTTTCCTTGGAAGTGTACCAATAAAAAGGCATTGACATTACAAAAATGTATCACCCTAACCTTCCTAATGGAGGACCTTGAATATTTTTAGCACCAGCGACGAAATGCAAGATGATAAGTGTTTCTACCAGCCCCATGACTGCTTCTTACTTTGGTTAATAACGAGGTTAATAATGATTTATGTAAGATTCGTTTAGTCTGAGGGAACCCCAAATAGCTTTGATTAGTTGTGAGATAAAACATACAGAGCATATGTCATATGTTACATGTCATATCTCTAATTGTTATTGCTACTGACAAAAAAGTGACCTACTAATCTGAAGTTTTCTTTTTGGTCCTTTAAATGGATGACCAGTCCCCCAATATAATAATAACAGTTAAAAAGTTTCTGCGGTACTAGCACCTACAGATTAGTAGTTATGTTAGCTGGTACATGTGCCAGTATACATAAAGTAGCAATGACATTTAGAGATATTACTTATGCTTTGTAGGTTATATCTACATGTTTGTTGATACACATCCAGATAGCTGAATCATTCATTGGTTGTTTCATCAATGGTATAGCGATGAGAACTAATAAGTTCGAAAATGGTCTATGTCTGGTAACTACGCTAATTAATGACGTTGGCCATTTACTAGATATTTGGGGTGTAGTTCAATGCTAGCCAGGGCATATACATTACACAGCAGGGAGATTATGCTTTCAAATTGGACATACAATTTTTGTAGGAGTTCTTATAACAGTATTATAAAACAACTAATTCCCATCAATTAATGACTCATATTTTAAATTTTTCTCTATAAAGCAAGCTCACTCAAATTACTCAATTAATTTCTCTATGATGGTTTCCGTAATAGTTACCGTATGTTGATACTTCTCTTCATTTGTACTTATCTAGTGATTTTTTAAATGAAATTGCCTCATATTTACATATGTTAAATAATAATATTGTATATTTTCAGAATGGATCATCAGATATAAATAACCAGAGAAGACAGTTGAGGCGCAAAAGTTCTGGACGACTCACAGAAACCAATAGAACACCACAGAATAAATCAAAAGAACCAAGTGATATAGAAGAAAAATCGGCAGTGAAGATACAAGCAGGTGTTAGAGGTTTCCTCGTCAGAAGACGACAGAAGAAACAGAAAAATCAAGAATCATAAAAACTAGGCATTAAAATCCATTCACACATTCTTATATTACTTTGTAGTTAGGGAAACTTGCACAGGATATAATATATTCAAAAACTTTCTGGTCCACTGTAAAGTAAAGTGAGTTGTTAGGTATTTGTACTTTTTGAAAATGGGAAATCTGGCGCCTACAAGATTGTCTAACCCTGGAAATCAAATATAGTGCAAGTTCACTTAAAATATTTATATACAAACAGACGCGTTTTATCCCAAGAGACAGCAGGCAAAACAAAAAGAAACAATTTCAGTTGTAATTAAGTTATTTCTGTTTGCTTAACCTCAATTAAATCTACAGTAGCGCAAGGTGAATTAAGAACACGCTTTCGAATAAGTGCTAACAGGGGTTCTAACAAATCTGGAACAAAGTATTTTTAGTTGTTGAGATTCTTCAGAAGCCGTAATCTGCCGAAAGATAGTCCATATATCGCATTCGGTTTAAAGTATCTTAACAATAATAAACAGATCAAAATATTGTGAGATGTTAAATTAAGTATAATATGCATATACAAAACAATATTTACAGCTAGTCAGAGATATTCTATGGTAGTTTATAAATGTATTCTATTAAGTATTCCAAAAAAGATATTGTAACAATTTCCAAAGAATTGTAGTGTTAGATGTAAGTGTTTATATTTATACTTTCTTAGATTTAATAAACTATTGAGCAAATTTCCTTATTTTATTTTATATTATCGTTTGTTTGAAAATAGAGAGAAATTTTGTTTGTTTAATTTTGGAGAAACATTTTCAAATAATATTTAATGATGAGGTCGAAAGAATCTCTTTATATTTTAAATAATTTCGATGTAACAAAAAAATAAGCTAATATGCTTCATTCAAAATACATCTTCTAGAAATTTAACATACAGTGTGGAACAGCCAAATGCAACAATATCAGTATCTTAATTATTGTGCACATTTATAAAAAATCCCGAGACACGTCGATTGTGGATTTTGAAATGATATACGTAAAAACGTAAACGTAAAAATTTCATCTCCAAATTCACCCCTTTTCGAGTGGCAGTTGCAACCCTAATTATGTATACTGTATAATATTTAAGTAGTTAATATTAGTTAATTCAAGCTTTATCTTTATGTAGTACAGTAATTCAGAAATAAGTAAATATTAAGCAATTTTTTATATCAAACAATTGATATACAGGGCCACTGATATGTATGGAAACGGTCGATTATCTCCTAAAGTAAGATAGCTATTGAAAAATCATACACAAACGTTTTAGGATTTTGAAAAAATCTATTACAATCAAGAACTATTAAGTATACAGGATCAGTCAAAAAGTCATGACGAAACCTAGTTACTTTAATGGAACTCGATGTATATTATTCCATATTTCAATTCTTCTCGAATTCTGTTCATAAAGCGCATCATCCTACCTTAATTAAGTTTTCAAGATATCGAACTTTGAAAATCATTTTCTTATAAATTATATAAAAATATTTTAGTCTATTTTTATAATCCATCAAGTTATCTTTGAAAGTTTCTAACTCCATAACAACCCTGGTAGCACAATCGTGTGAAATTCTAATACAAGTTGTTTCAAGTTTACTTGAAATAGCCAAATTGTGTCAGATTGTTTTGTGTCTATTGCTGAAATTTATATCGTTTCTTATGCAAAATAGTAAGAAATGAAGAAGATTCTTTGAATGTCCTATTAGACGTGATGGAAAATCCAATAAATTCGACACAACAGGGGGTTTTAAATCCTAACATGAATCTATATTCCATTAAAAAAATTTGCAAATGGGAAAAATTACGTCCATATAAAATTCAGTTGCTACCAGAATTGAGTGAAGACGATTATGACCGTAGAATCGAATTTTGCGAAGTTATTATAGATAAATTAAACGAAAATGTCAACTTTGTGACCCACATATTGTTTTCTAACAAATCTACATTTTGTTTAAAAGGGCATGTAAACTGTTACAACTGTAGGTATTGGTCAGAGCAAAATCCACATTGGATGGAGGAAGTTTCCACCCAACGAACCACAGAAAGTAAATGTTTGGTGTGGCATTATTGGTAGACACGTCATAGGACCGTATTTTATAAAGGGAAATTTGAGCTCTGAACAGTAATTATTACTGTTGCAAGAACATATTATTCCAGAGCTTAGACGATTATTTCCGAACAATAACAATCCCAATTTACTGGCAGAACAACATGATGGGGACCCTCTACATTTTGGATGTGTGGTACGGGCATATCTAGATGAAACTTTGCCTGATAAGTTGATTGAACGCAGAGGGGCAATTGAATGGCCAACTAGGTCTCCCGATATGACTTCGCTTGACTTTTTTCTGTGGTGTCACATAAAATTGTAGTTTACAAAAATAGGCCGCAAAATATCAAAGAGTCGCAGGAAATTTCCACTATTCCTCCCAACATCTTTTTGGATTCACTATAAAATTTCGTTCAACGAATTAATTACTGTCAGGAGGTAAATGGTGAACACTTTGAAATTTTATAAAATAGAATTCCAACGAAAATATTTGTTGTTTATTAAAACTTGTTTTCTCTCTTTTTTTATTCTGGCATAACTACTATTTTCACAAAATTTAAAATATGCAGGATATTCATTAAACAATAGATTTTTTCGTTTTATGCGTTTTTATCAACCCTGAACTACTATGCTTTTTTATTTTCTGTAAAAAACTAATAATAAAATTAAATCATATCCATATCCTCCGCCTTGTGTCATTTTTAAAATAAATATCCATAATTTGGGGTCCTTTTTCTTTTATTTTGAGAGTAGTATAAAGTTACTTTCAAAGTTCGATATCTGGAAAACGGTTTGAATTGAATTATGAAATAATAAAAGCAACTTTTTACTGATCCTGTATACTTAATAGTTATTTATTGTAATAGATTTAAAAAAACCCTAAAAGGTTTGTGTTTTATGATTTTCGACAGCTATCTTAGTTTAGGAGATAATCGACTGTTTCCATACACATCAGTGACCTTGTATAATTGTTTGAGCCCAATTCATTGAGTTTTTCTTCCCGTATCAAGGAAAATATATAAGTAGTAGATACCGAGATCAGCAGTTCATAAAATTTGTTAATGCAGATTAAATATATATCAGTATTAAAATTTAATCTAATACAGAGCGTCCCTTAGTTCGACAGCCAGACTTCTATAGGATATTATTTTACAAAATTAACACAAAAAGAATTAGAAATGAACATGGGATCGATTTCGATCACTAATACGAAGATATAGCGGTTTGAAAATGATCTGTTGACAATCATTTACCTAAAGTATCGTCTAAATTAATTGAACTATTAATACCAAATTGAGTATGTATCTACTCGTTTTTGGCTATTGAAAAGTCATATTTACATAGTTACAAAAAATTTGTTGTGTGGAATCCACATAGCCACAATAAAAAAAAATATCTCCTGGAAAAGGTATGTTTTGAGAGTGAACTTATGGCTTCTGCAAAAATTTAGAAAGACATGTTTTTTGAATAAAATTCAATATCACTGTGCAATAAATTATTGTCAAGAAGAATACATAAAAAAACTGCGATGTTAAATATGTTTCTGAAATACTAGAATGACTATTTAAGACCTCTATCGCGTTGTAAAAGAATTGTAAAAAGAACAGTACTATTATTATATCTATTATAATACTTAACACGTATTGCATCATATCGAATACTATCTAATGAATGAACTTAAATAAGTAATAACACAGCTCCACAAAATAAAAAAAGTCTTTAGCAAATGATCAGAATACATTATTCCCATGTATTTTTAGCCGTTGAATTCGAATCCTATGTCAGAATTATCCCAGGAAATCACCAGAATTTTCTAAAATCAAAATATGCGTAAAAAAACACAAAATCAATAAATCGGCATTTAAAATCTAGGTGTGACTTATCAGCAGCTGAAACTAGTGGTCAGATCTTTATATTCCTATCTGCTAAATAAGAATCTGAAGTCAGATTTGGCCCATAAGGTTACACATCCTGCCTAACCTTTAAAAAAGCATAAAAATTTATAAATTAGTTTCTACGATCCAGGTATGATTTAACAGCGACTGAAAAAATCATGGTATTTTCGTGTATTTTAATACTAATATAATTACCTTAATAGCCTGAAAAAATCGCTAATATTCTAAACTTTTTCAATGATAACAAATAATGCAAACATATATTATTTCCATGAATTCAGTGCTACCAAAATTTCTTTGCACTCAGTTATAAACGAACAAAAAGGCTTTAAACCTAAGGCATTCAGTTATAAACGCAGAAAGGATTATTCACCAAGCATAAAACCTAACAAAGCCTAAGGTGGCGAATCATAAACGAACAGAAAGTGTATAACACAAGTTCTAAACCTAACATAATCGAACCGCTCGTACAGCCTTTTGGACAGTCCTGTTTCAGTTTTGAGGTGCCCATTACCAATCTGATATTAGAGTCACGTTAGCAAATCAGCATAATTTTCTAATTAGAAATTTCACCTCAAAATTCATACAGGGCCGTTCAAAGGGCGGTACGAGCGGTACGGTTATGTTATGTTTAGAGCTTGTGTTGTACAGGGTGTTTCTAAAATAGGGTTCCAAACTTCTGCTGCGTTTATAACTCATTAAAATAAGCTAAAACGTTCCTATTAACATGTGCCCTAAAACGCACCCTTAGGAAGTTATATGCCCTTAAAAGGGCTCAAACAAAACTGATTTTTTTTCTGTTATTGACAAAACGGTAGCAAATAAATAGAAAAAAATGTATGGGTCTTACATAACTTTTTACGTTAAATAACATGGACTACTCCGTTTTTCGACATGCAAATCATATGTGTCCCATTTAGGTTGGTGAAGGGGGTTTTCGGCCCGTAATTTTTTTTATTTCAATTTTTTTACAATTTTCTCTACAGATTTATAAAATCTTAACAATTTTACGTAAAAAATATTATCTTTGTCCATATCGATATTTCCAATGGTTTTCGAGTAAATTGAGTTTGAAGATTACTCTGCTCTTTAAGTTATTAGGCCAAAAATTACAAAAATCTGTTTACCATGGCAACTAAAAGACTGACGTTGCCACAACGCTTAACAATTTAAGTTATTGATAAACTGTCAATTGAGCTTTGCAATGTTTAATTAGTAAAGGTGGTGAGTGGAAAATTTAAGTAAAAAAAAACCAGTTTTGTTTGAGCCCTTTTAAGAGCATATAACTTCCTAAGGGTGCGTTTTAGGGCACATGTTAATAGGAACTTTTTGGCTTATTTTAATGAGTTATAAACGCAGCAGAAGTTTGGAACCCTATTTTAGAAACACCCTGTATGCTGTCTGTTCATTTATGATTCGACACGTTCGGCTTTGTTAGGTTTTATGCCCATTGAATAATCCTTTCTATGTTTATAACTGAATACCTTAGGCTATGTTCATTTATAACTGGGGGCTAAGAAATTTTGGAAGCACTGAATTCAAGGGAATAATACATTTTTGCATTATTTGTAGCCTTACCATTCTAAAATTTGAGATTAGCGATTTTAAGTTATTTTTTCAGGATAGAAAATTCTGATGATTTGGGGCAATTCTGACATCGGATTCGAATTCAGCGGGTCAAAATACCCAGGAATATAGAGGGTGCCGAAAATTAGTAGGTCAATCCGTTAACCATAGGTAGCTG